AGACCCCCTTTGTTAGGCCCATTTCCCTGCTAATATACAGCGCTCGTTTAGTTTTTCTCTCAGTTGCTCCTGAGGAAGCCCACAGGGCGAAACGTTGAGCTATTAAACAAATTTAAACATTTTATATTGTTATTTTATTTTTGTCTAAAATTAAAACAAGACTCTCCCTCCTACCCTGCTTACCAAAAAATGATGAAGATGATGATGATGATGATGATGATGATGATGATTCCGGATATTCGAACTGAACATAATACATGTATGTGTATACAATCTAGCACTCGCATTGCAAACACGCACATATAGAAAAACGCCCATAGCGAACACATGTTCGGGTCAACAGATTTTGTTGTTATGCAGAATGTCTAAACAACAAAAAAGGACCAGTTTGAAAGGCAAAAACTCGATCATCAGCGTCACAATTTGATTAAACAAAACATCACGAAAAAATTTAACCAATCGGTCGTTAAATTATTGTTCAACATATGAGAGAAAAATAAAGTGAGGTCTAAATATTCGAGAAATATTAAGTTTTTTGTGGGGTTTTGTTGTTGTTTTGTTTTTGGGTTGTTTTTGGTGGATTTTTTTGTGTTGTTTATTTTTTATCTTGCTGGGGTGGTTTATATGTCAACCCAAATTGTGTAAAACACAACATTTTACTTCCTAAAAGCGTTCAGCTACAGGGGGGTGATTAACCAAGTGCTGGTTTCAGGGCACGGGTGGGAAAAAATGCGGTTGTCACATTAGATGATATATGTGAAGCGTGCTGACAACATGAGTTACTTCTCGGATTTGAGCCCTATGAAAATAAATACATTATCATGCTTTTAGGTTAAGTTTTTACAATTTGTAAGTATGAAATAACAAATGGCATTTAGTACTTAATGAATATTGCATCAATAGAATACCTAGAAATTTGTCCCCAGTGTCGATTTTTTGCCAATATCTGCATTTGTGGATTGTGAGAAGTAACTCATTTTGTCAGCACGCCTCACATATTATCTTCTCATCGTGCTGAGAAAGTTTTTGAGACGTTTAGGGACGAGCAGGGGCTATGCTGTTGAGTAGATCGGAGTCCTGCAGTGTGGGGACTAGAGCCGTCATCCAGCACAGACCACTCAAAATGTGGGACCAGGTCAGGGGTGCTGAAGGTAATGTCTAGAGGTGAGGTGTTGAAAGTGGGTCTGTTTCGGTGGGCGGGGGATTAATGACATGTATTTAAGTGGGCCTTCTTTTTAAATTATTTTTAGACACCCGGTATTTTGTGGTGTCGTTCAGTTTGTCTTGTCTCTTTAACAGAGACTGTGCACGACGTGAAATTTTATTAAGCTTGGTTCCAAGATGACCGGAGTATTGT